GAGCTTTCGTGAGTCACTGCTCACTTCAGAAGAGGTGAAGAAGTGAGCAGTGACTCACGAAAGCTCCTCCCCTGCCACAAATTTAGTTAGCCTTTAAGGTGCTACTGGACTACTGCTATTTTCTACTGCTACAGACAGACTAAGACAGCTACCCGTCTTGATCTATGTGTACGGAAATGGAAGCATGTTTTGGGGGGGTGTTCTGCATTCATATTGTTTATCCTCAAAAACCTGTGTGTGTTTCAGGTCCGAGTTCTACAAGCACATTGTGTTGTCCGGCGGTTCTACTATGTACCCCGGGCTGCCCTCCCGGCTAGAGCGTGAACTTAAGCAGCTTTACCTGGAGCGGGTCCTGAAAGGCGATGTGGAAAAACTTTCGGTAAGTCACTGTCCTTAAGCTTACTGTTCCTTTTAGATTTGGATATGCAAGACTGTCACTAGAGGGAGCACGGGGGTTGGCAAGAGGCCTCTATCTTAACAAACAGCCAGCTTCGAATAGACATTTAGTTATTTAGATGTGCCCAAAATTACTTTAGGCTGCCCGCTGCCTTGGATGAAACTAGGGCCGATTTCCCACAAGCACTGCTCTGGCTCGCTCTTCCCTTTTGCCCCATGGTACGTGTCAATTTCACACAAGCTGCTGCGCGGCCACATTTTGCCCCACAGCTTCGCGCGATTTCCCCCACGTCTACTCAATCTTCAAATACAGGATTGAGTAGACGCGGGGAAAATCACAGTGAAGCTGCGGGGCAAAATGTGGCCACGCAGCAGCTTGTGTGAAATTGACACGTGCCATCGGGGCAAAAGGGAAGAGTGAGCGTGGAGCGGTGCTTGTGGGAAATCGGTCTAGGTTTTCAGGTAAATGTGTTTAGGGGTATGAGACTTCTGTAGTCTCAATTGCACGATTATTCAGGTTTATTCTCTCCTTCTCTTGCCTGCTTTTCTTGGCAGAAATGAAAACGTATGTTCTCTTGCCTCCAAATCAGAATTCTGAACCATAGTTAATCCTGGGTTGGGAAGCAGGAGAACAAACCGTAATTTGTACTTTGGACATAATAAACCAAGGTTTGCAAAATGATCACAACCATGAAGCTGCTTTCATACTGAGTCAGACCCTTGGTCCATCAGAGTCAGTATTGTTTACCCAGACAGGCAGTGGCTCTCCAGGGTCTCAGGGAGAGGTCTTTCACATCACCTCCCGCCTGGTTCTTTTTTAAGTGGAGTTGCCAGGGATTGAACCTGGGACCTTCTGTATGCCAAGCAGGTGCTCACAGCTCCTCCCAACTGCTCCTCCCAACTCTTTGCTGTAACCATGGCTTGTCATTTCACGTGGATCATGCTAATAACATGCATTGGGGAGCTTTCTTCTTTTTGCAAATTGTATATACATGATACTATAGCAAATTCTAAAGTTAAAGGTGCGTGGGAGATGAAACGCTTTTTTAAAAAATGTAAAAATTGTTAGGGAGGGACAGAACTTTGGAGAGAAAGCTCAGTCTTGGATGCTCATGGAATTGCCTTCCCCTAGAAACTGCTTGCTCTGAATTGTCCTTAAGACTGAATGTAAAAATTGTTAGGGAGGGACAGAATTTTGGAGAGAAAGCTCAGTCTTGAATGCTCATGGAATTGCCTTCCCCTGGAAGGATGTAATAGACTATAACAGGGGGCCCCAACCTTTTTGAGCCTGTGGGCACCTTTGGAATGTTGATAGTGTGCTGGGTGCAGCCCCAGAAATGGCTGCCACAGCTTCATACAGTGAAGATCTTTGAGCTGTGGTGGCAGCACAACCATTCAGAAGCCATTGCTGGCAACCCCAACACCTGGCTCCGCCCATTTTCTAAGAACACTTGGTGGGCACCAGGGAAGGTGTTGGTGGGAACCTTTGGAATAGAATGCTGAATAGACATGTAGGGGAGGGGCTGTGGCTCAGTGGCAGAACATCTGTTTGGTGTGCAGAAGGTCCTGGGTTCTATCTCCAGCACCTCCAGTTAGGATCAGGTCGTAAGTGATGTGAAAGATCTCTTTCTGAGACCCTGGGGAGCTGCTGCCAATATGAGTAGATAGCACTGACCTCAATGGACCAACAGTCAAGTCCTACAAGATGAAAACTCCGAACAAGGTGATCCACTCTAGTGGCCCCCTATTAGTGTTGTCACTGACACCCCCCCAAAAAAGAGCGATTTGAGTTTCAGTCCTTTGACTATAGATTTGGCAAGCTTTGTTCCGTAACCTCTGGTAATGTTAAGCTCTACTTCTTGTCCCTGCAAGAAATTCAAAATCCGTATCGAAGATCCGCCCCGTCGGAAGCATATGGTGTTCTTGGGGGGTGCTGTTCTCGCGGACATCATGAAAGACAAAGACAACTTCTGGATGACCCGGCAGGAATACCAAGAGAAGGGGGTGCACGTGCTGGAGAAGCTGGGCGTGACGGTCCGATAAACCTGGGGCGCTTCCTCCCATCCCCGGCTCCAAAGTGCGCATTCCTTCCACCGCCAGTCTTTGAACTCCTTCACTTTTTACAGAAATGGGGAAGGCCTATCTGTCTGTGCCACCTTTGACCCAAAGGCCAGGTTTTGATTTTGTTTCTTTTCTCTTTTCTGTTTGGGGAGTGGAATCACGTGCCTGTGTTTCGATGACTTTAATTGGACCACTTCTGTGCAAGGAAAGCCAGAGCAGGGCAAGCATGGCTTGTCCGTCACATTTTTCTTTCCCTGCAGCAGCTGGGTTAGTTGCAGTAGGCTTGTCCTCACATCTTCGCGGCACCCCTCATCAGCTTTTGCGTGTACCTCACCATGGTTGAGAATCCCTGTAGCAGGAGAGAATTTTCGCTGTGCTACCGGTTACCTGCCATCATTTTTAAGTAGGAGAGAATTTTCGCTTCGCTACCGGTTACCCACCATCATTTTTAAACAGGAGAGAATTTTTGTTTTGCTACTGGTTACCTTTCAGCATTTTTAAGCAGGGGAGAATTTTTGCTTCGCTTCGCTACCGGTTACCCACCATTATTTTTAAACTGGAGAGAATTTTCGCTTTGCTACTGGTTACCTTTCATCATTTTTAAGCAGGAGAGAATTTTCGCTTTGCTTCCGGTTATCTGCCATTATTTTTAGGCAAGAGAGAATTTTCGTTCTGCTACCAGTTACCCACCATCATTTTAAAACAGGAGAGAATTTTCATTTTGCTACTGGTTACCTTTCAGCATTTTTAAGCAGGAGAGAATTTTCGCTGTGCTACCAGTTACCTGCCATCATTTTTAAGCAGGAGAGGATTTCCGCTTCGCTACCGGTTACCTGCTATCATTTTTAGGCAGGAGAGAATTTTCGTTTTGCTCCCGTCTATACATCTAATAGCAACTCGTGGCCCCCATCTGCGGGTACTGATATCCGTGGATCGGGGCCACATCACCGCTAAACGGGTTTTTCTGCAAACTTGGGGGGAACCCCCCCCCCAGGTTTTGCAGAAAAATCTAAAACCTTAAAAAAATATATTGGAAGGTTTAGATTCCTGCCGATATTGCATTCTCTGCACAAGCGCAGAGACTGTGCCTACCCTCCAGCATTGTTGTTGGTGGCTGCAGCAGGGGCTGGGAGCTGCGGTGGATCCCAGGAGCTGCAGTGGGCGCTGTGAGGAAGTGGGGAAGGAACCCCCCCAGCTAGCCTCACAGGCCTACACTTCTGATTCTGTCATGTTCTGTGGAAGGTGGTTTGTTGACTTGGTATCATCCCTTGCTTAGGGACTGTGCAGGCAGTCAAGGCTTCCAAGTGATCCTTAATACTTTTCCAGAGTACCTTGGATTCTGTGGACACAGGTGATGAAATCCCGCGGATCAGTTCTACAATGTGGAGGAATTTTCCACCAGCCAAATGGGGTTTCCTGAGCCTCTTGTACAGGAGGACGGCTCCTTCCACCAGAGGAAAGCGTCTCCACAAATGGAACAGATTCAAGGGAACAAATGCTGGGCTTCTGAAATTAGGTACCGCAGAAACTGGCAGTTAGTGCCTGAACCGGGCAGGAAAGCAGAGGCGAAACAACGAACAGCTTTAAAAGTTTTCCTGAAAGAGTAGCAGTTAACGGTGGCAAAAATAATACCCCGAATCCCTCTTGTATTTTTCTGTCGAATCCATTTCTAGCAGCTGTGATTTGGCTCTAGGTAGCTATTCCCTTGCAGGATGCATATGGTTTCTTTCCTTTGCTATGACGTTTTCCTCTTCTTCTTTTGGTATTACGATATCTTCTTTTTCATTACCATCGGGCTTAACGGTGTGTGGGTTTTTGTGTTTTTTTTTAAGTGGGAAATGTTAATTACGTCACCTGGGACTGGATTCCCTGCATATAATCTATTGAGAAAAAGTAATATGTTCAAGAAAAGTCTGTGAATATTCTAATTACTGGTACAATATTACAAAAAAAAAAGGAAAAAGTAGAATTGTATTAAATTTCAAAACCGCAAACGCAGTGCCAAGTAATTGCTAATTGATTTTTTTTATATAACTGTTAAATGTTATTTAAAATCACCCAGATATTTATATAAGAACTGTTGGTAGGTTACGATGAATGACCTACATTTGTAGCAGTTAAAAAAAAATAATAATCTTGGAATGTAGACCTTGTAGTAAGCAGGTAGGTTTGGAATATTTCGCCAGTCTAATTTTGACTGGGGGGGGGGGAAGGTGTGTGAATTAAAAAAAATATGAGTATTTGCAGTACTGTTTTCATTAAAGATGAGCGTGCTGTTGAAAACGGTGTGTGGTGTTCCTTGTCTTTTGTAGTATTTTATTCTTTATTTACTGTATTTATATCCTGCCTTTTGCCCCAAGGCTGTGGTGGCTCAAGTGGTTAAGACGCTAAGCTGCAGACAGGAAGGTCGGTACTTCAACAGTTCGAGACTCGAGTGCCGCATGACGGAGTGAGCTCCTGTCTCTGGCCCCGGCTCCTGCCAACCTAGCAGTTCGAAAGCAAGACATTGCAAGTAGATAAATAGGTACCACTTCGGTGGGAAGGTAACAGCGTTCTGTGCGCCTCAGTGTCTAGTCATGCTGGCCACATCATGACCACAGAGAAATCTTTGGACGACACTGGCTCTTCGGCCCCCTGGAGATGAGCACTGCCCCCTAGAGTTGGATTCGACTGGCTTTCGAGCAAGGGAAACCTTTACCTTTCACCCCAATGGGAACCCAAAGCAGCTTGCTTCATTCTTCTCTCATCCATTTTATGCTCTCAGCAACCCTGTGAGGTTAGGTGGAGAGTGTGTGACTAGCCCAAGGTCACCCAGCGAGCTGCCATGGTGGCGGGGGAGGGGGTGGATTCGAACTTGGATCTCTCAGATCCTAGCGCCAACACCATGCAGGCATTCCCAAAGAAGAAAGGAGCCTGTCTGCACTGTACGCCGGGAGGAAGCAAGCAAGCAGGCGGCTGGAGGTAATGAAGGTGCATGAACGGATAGCATCCTGGTCAGAGGGCAATGATACCGTGGAAACCTCATCCTGACCAATGAGAAGGGGCAGGAGAAGAACATCATGTGTTCAGGACGGACAAAAGGAAATACTCCTTTACACGGAGAGGGAATAAAATGTGGAATTCGCTGCCAGAAGATGTAGCGATGGCCACAGGAATAAACATTTTTAGAAGGGGATTAGATAGATTCCCGGAGGATAAATCTATCAGTGGTTGCCATGGTGACTGAAGGGAACCTCCACATACAGAGGCACTAATCCTCTAAATTTCAGAGCCAGGAGGCACCATCAGGGGAAGGCCTTTCTTCCCTGTTGTTGGTCCTCCAGAGGAACTAGTTGGCCAGTGTGTGAGACAAGATGCTAGCCTAGATGGACCACGGGTCTGATCCAGCAGGGCTCTTCTGATGTCCTTATGAAGGCCTCGGCCTCTCTGCCCTGTTGTTGGCCCCCCAGAAGAACTGGTTGGACACTGTGTGAGACAGGATGATGGACCCCTGATCTGGTCTAGCAGGGCTAAGGCCTCGGCCTCTCTGCCCTGTTGTTGGCCCCCCAAAAGAACTGGTTGGCCACTGAGTGAGACAGGATGCTGAACTAGATGGACCCCTGATCTGGTCCAGCAGGGCTCTTCTGATGTTCTTATGAAGGCCTCGCCCTCTCTGCCCTGTTGTTGTCCCCCCCAGAAGAACTGGTTGGCCACCGTGTGAGACAAGATGCTGGACTAGATGGACCCCTGATCTGGTCCACCAGGGCTCTTCTTACATTCTTAGATAAATAATCCCTGGTGTCTTGAGTTGAAAGGATCCACCTGCAACCATGGATAGCTGCAGAGTAGACCAGTTTGGCCTCTATACGCTCCGTTTTAAAAGAAGATTCATGTGATCTGTTTGTCTGGCAGAGGGGTTTTTTTTAACTCCAGCGTACGGAACCTTGCATCGGGGGAAGCCTCTCTGCTTGCAGAATGGATCTGTCCCTTTCCATTGGGCACAGTTCACGCTCTTTCTCTGTTGACAGCCGCAGCTAGAGAGAGGCTTACCCCCCACAGGGCCAGTGGTTCCCTTAGCTCCTCCTCTCCCGCCAGTTCTTCGCCAATCACTTTGCGTCGGGCGGATTTTTCAGGAGGACAGCAGATAGGAGATCTGTGTGTGCTTTTTGCAGGGCAATTGGTTCGTCTCACTCTGTGCGCGTTTAGTTTGCATGCACAGAAAGTGGCGATTGGATGACACGTGCCAGGAAATGACCAAGTGCATGGCCTCTCTTGTCCTCCAGAGGAATTGCTTGGCCCCTGTGTGAGAGAGGATGCTGGACGAGATGGACCACTGGTCTGATCCAGCAGGGCTCTTCTGATGTCCTTATGAAGGCCTCGGCCTCTATGCCCTGTTGTTGGCCCTCCAGATGAACTGGTTGGCCGCTGCGTGAGACAGGATGCTGGACTAGATGGACCACTGGTCTGATCCAGCAGGGCTCTTCTTACGTTCTTATGAAGGCCTTGGCTTCTCTGCCCTGTTGCTGGCCCTCCAGAGGAATTGCTTGGCCACTGTGTGAGAGAGGATGCTGGACGAGATGGACCCCTGGTCTGATCCAGCAGGGCCCTTCTGATGTTGTTATATTCTTAAGGAGGGGGGAAACGTACAGAAGC